GGGCTGGCCTAGGAGCTGCTCCAGCTCCAGCTCCCCGGGTTTCTCCTCAAGAAATATCTGCGTTACGGAATATTTACCGAGGGCTCGCTTGACGGAGCGGCGAGCCGGGCACACGCCGGGTGCCAGCGCCCAGCCCGGCCCCGTTACCGCTCCTCCATCTCTGCCCCCCTATGCCCCCTTCTCCTCTCCTTGCACTCCCGTGGAGGCTGCAGAGCACTGGAAATAAAACCAGCCTGTCCTGTTAGTGCACGGTACCGGCACTAACGTTATCGGGGTGTTTAACCAAACTCCTGTGCCCTTTCCTCCCAGAAGGCAGCACACAGATGCCAGGCTTCCCCTGGCAGCACTCCACAGATGCTCCTCAGCTTCCAACCCTTCCCCACAACACCACCAGCCCTTTGATTTCCAACGACTTTGATTTTCAGCTTAAAAAGACAAAAAAAACCCCACAAAATTGTTGGTTCTCCCCCACCCCAGAGATATTTTCTTTTCTCTACTCTTGATTCCTACCTCTCATTTATGATTTCAGCCCTACCTTGGTTTGATATTGCCTCACAATATTTCCAACAGCTGGAATTTTATACATTAAATCAAACTCATGGCTGTTGGAAGTGCTCCAGCCCTCATTAGACACCCTTCCCAGCAGCAGACAGACAGCTAAACCACAGCATCAGTCCTTGTAGCTCGTTCAGGACAGGTACACATTGATAATAAGATTTAAATATACTTAGAGATGCAAACCTGCCTGGGGGTGTCCTGGTGGAGTTATGGCCCCCTGCAGCAAAGGAAAACCCACAGTATCGGGGCTCTCCTAACTGCTGTCCCTCTCCCAGCCACAGACTGTCACCCCAAAGTGACAGTTTTATTGCCAAAGGTGATAAGAGCTGCTTTCCACACTAGCTGCTTGGTCTCCATGTATGTGTGTAGAGCAACTGGACCCGGACAATTGGGATTTGGGTGCAGGAACAAGCTGAGTACATCCAGTTCCCAGGGCTTAAAAGGGAAACTCTGGAGAAAATTAGGGATCAGGACTACTGATTATTTCCCCACCACACACCCCCATCAGAATATTGCCATACTTCTCCAGCAATGGCAGCACATATGAAAAAAACCAACCCAAATCCAAACCCAAGCAGCCTTTCAGGAGGTGTGGAGCTGCTGGCAGCTGTACCCGTGTCCTGAAGCGGCTCGCTCAGCTGCTGCCCTCGGGCTGGCTTGGCCCTGGCTGACCCCACAGCACTGCTTGTCCCCAGGCACCCTGTCCCCTGCCTGCACCCTGACCCACCGAGTGCCACTTCACCCACCCTCACCACCCTTTTTCTCTCCTTAGTCCTTTTCTCTTCAGTTTAAACACTATTTTTTTCCTCTTTGTCATCTTAAAAATAATCAGCAAAAAACAAAATTTGAAAAAAAACTGTTTAAAAGGCAAGGTTTTCACCACTTTGCAGGGGTTTTTGGGTGGTGTCCGCGTGGGGTGACGTCTCTGGAGGCTGCTTCTGGGGACATTTGGACCTGCTGTGTCAGCATCACATTGCAGCCGTGTGCCTGTGTGAGCTTAAGGTGCCCCTTGGCCTGTGCCACCCCTGCCAGCGCTCTGGCCACGCTCCCCTGGTGGGTGTCTCAAAACGTTAGTTCAGTTGCTCTCCCAGGTGGGAGGAGCCAGGAGAAGGGTGGCACAGCCCGTAGCACGTGCTAGGGGCTGGAGGACGATGCCCTGCGAGCTGAGTGTGGGTGCTCTGCAGGAAGGGATGAGGTTTTGAGGTGCTGCAGTGCTCCCCAAAGCCTGGTTCCCAGCCAGGCTGCTCCTGCCCTCAGGGGAGCCAGTGGGATTTCTCCTCTTGTCCTCAATGGCATCTCCACAGGGTCCCAAGGGCAAAGCTCTTCTTTTCCAATCAACAGATTATCCCCCTTGGTCTGTAGTCCAGGATCTTCATCATCATCCTCTTCTTCCTTCTCCTCCAGCTCGATGTTTTCCTCTCCAGGGGGGATCAGGGATGGGGCACGTCCCTGCTCCTACCCTCAGAGCACCCATCCTTGCTCTTTTCTCCCTCCAGCCCCTTTCCACTGGCAGATAAGTCCAGAGTGCCTCCAGGCAGAAACCAGAGATGACCAAGGAAGAAGACCTACCAGACTGGACCTCATCCAAGGAGTTTTATGAAAAATATGAGCCGAAGGAGATTTTGGGCAGGTAAAGTTTGGGTTTGGCAAACTGTGGTTTCCCATACTGCAGTACCTGATAGGAACAGCATCCCCTGGGGATCCGACAGGAACAGGGCTTGTAGCAGCATGGGGTCAAAAAAAGCAGGAAACAGCCCTTTCCATCAGCTCAAAAATCTTCTGTCCCACCAAGACAGGGCAGCAGAGTGAGACCCACTGGTGTATGGAGCTGCCAGGCAGCCCAGGTGCCAATGGCACAGCCGAAGTCGGGCTGGGTGGGGAGGAAGGGAAGCCCCCATCTTGTCTGTGTTGTCCCTGGCAGGGGGGTGAGCAGCGTTGTCCGTCGGTGCATTCACAAAACCACCCAGCAGGAGTATGCTGTGAAGATCATCGACATCACAGCGGGCAACATCTCCCCCAAGGAGGTGCAGGAGCTGCGAGAAGCCACCACTAAAGAGATCGACATCCTTCGGAAGGTCTCAGGCCACCCCAATGTCAGTAAGTCAGGCTCTGAGCATCAGGACAAGGGGGTTTTCTGCCCTATTTATTCTTCGAGGTGTCCCCAAGAAGGGTTTTGAGGGTGAAACCCCTGGAGGGTCAGACCTCTGATGGCCCTGATGTGATACAGAGCATCGCTTGCTCTGCCTCTGCACACACACCAGCCATGTGGCTGCCTCCCAGCTGAAAAACTAATGAAGATCAACTCCTCATTAACTCAATTAGTAATCAGATCAGCAATTTTTAGTCCATTCATGGACAGGAACACACTATATACTGTGCTCACAGCCCCTGTGTTTTATTGCAGTCCAGCTGAAGGACAGCTATGAATCCAGCACCTTCTTCTTCTTGGTGTTTGACCTGTAAGTACCATCTCCCCTGTCACCCCAGCACCATCTCCCCTGTCACCCCAGCACCATCTCCCCAAGCCTGTTCCCACTTTGCAGATGGCCATCAGCCAACACTCACCCCAGCTTTTTATGGCCCAAACAGGGCAAAGCCAGGGGACAACAACCACTTGCTTAAGGTAGAAAGCCTTAAGGTAGAAGGCCTTGATGTTTCCCCTCTGTCAGCAGCTGAGCACTGCTCAGGTTTCCCTGTAACCTTTGGTGGGAGCTGTCATGGATCCCTGTGGGTTATTTATATGCCCAGTGGGAGCGGGGGGCGCGTGACGCCGCGACTCCTGACACCACCACAGGCGTCAGCAGAGGGGGCAGCTGCCAGGAGATCCCTGTCCCTGTCCCCTCCAAAACACACCCTCTCCAGGGATAGCCTTTCCTCCTCTTGCCTGACGTTTTGCAGCAACACAGAGGCATTTTTAACCCTTTTTATTAACAAGCCAGCTTGTAATTTTGCGCGATGGGTGCCCTGGGCTGTTAAGAGGCAGCAACCCCCAGGCAGTTCTCCCCAGGGGCCAGTTCGCTGTTGCAGCTCAGCCACTACCTCCCTCCCTTTCCCCTCCCACATGCAGGATGAAGAGAGGGGAGCTCTTTGACTACCTCACAGAGAAAGTCACCTTGAGTGAGAAGGAAACCAGGTAAGGCTGGAGGCAGATGCTGCGAATCACGCCACAAAAGCAGGGTGTGGGTTTGAAGGGTGACCTCGCAGCCAGCACGGCACCCGGGGGCCAACCAGCGCCCTGGGCTGTGCCCCATGCTCAGACAGGTGCCCGTGGGCCTTTGGGCTAGGGGAGGTGCTGTCCTGTGTCCCCAGGAAGATCATGCGTGCGCTGCTGGAAGTGATCCAGTACCTCCACTCCATCAACATCGTCCACCGGGACCTGAAGCCGGAGAACATCCTCCTGGATGATGACATGAACATTAAGCTGACGGACTTTGGCTTCTCCTGCCAGCTGCAGGAGAACGAGAAGCTCAAAGGTAGGGGGATGGAGAGGTGGGGGCAATGCCAGGCTGGCCCATGGCGAGTCTGTAGAGTCTCTCCAGCCCCACCGTCTCCTTCGGGCCAGTCTTGCTGCCGTGGGTGCAGTTTGGTGCCTGCTTGGGGTGTCCTGCTCGTGCAGGAGCCTGGCTCTGCCTGCATGCAGCCTCCACACCTTGCTGTGAAGAAGTTGCTGCCTATTAGGAAAACCATCCTCTTCTCTCCACTTGTTTTCCTCCAGTTGGTCCTCATTATCCCATCCATTTACTCCCTGATATTAAGGTTTTCTCCAACTCCTATCCTGCTAAGAGCCATATACTCAACAACAGGCATCTGCTCCTACTGGCAGCCCCATCACTCTCTTTGCTCACTTTTTAGCCACTGTAATTCACCAAGAAAAATCACCAGTGAGATGCACACAAGTTGCAGTTACTCCCTGCAAAGATCCCCCCTGGGACCCAGCCCTGGGGTCCCCTCTGCCCCCACCCCGGTCGATGGCTCAGGGGTGGGTGGGGATGGCACAAACCCTCCCGGCTGGCTCAGGGGGATGCTCTGCCCTGTCTTTGCAGAGATCTGTGGCACCCCTGGCTACCTGGCCCCTGAGATCTTGCAGTGCTCCATGGACGACGAGCACCAAGGCTACGGGAAGGAGGTTGATATGTGAGTGAGACATCTGCCTTCCCACCTCACCCCGCGGGCTGCTCCCAAAGCACACGAGGTTTGAGGCACAGTGAGAGTTGTGCCAATGGGGACCCATCTGAGCGTTAGGAAGGAATTAAATGATGCACTGAAAGACCACCCCAGGTGCTGCGAGAGGCTGTCCTGGTGACCAGGGGACTCTGGCACACAGCTAGGGGAAAAGCAGCTTGGGGACAAGCCTGTCTGCCTGCTTTGCCCTGTCAGGGAGGAGAGAAAGCAAAACTTTCTGTTCATAAAAATCAACTTGGGCTGGGCTCTAGGACACAGAGCTTTTTAAACACACCCTATAGCAAGGCATGAACCCAAGGCAGCCCCTGAGAGAGCAGCCAGCTCAGGAAAGCCTGTCGGAGCCCCACAAAGACTTCACTACCACCTCTGGTGGCTTCAGGCTCAGGTCTACAGTGGCTAGAGCTGTAACCAATCACTCAAAACACACCAGGGTGTTTCAGCCCCTTTTCAGTTTAAATATCCCTGTTAACTCCTATGCTAGGACACTGCACACACAGACTGAGCCA